GGGGTTCTGTCCACCCCCGATTGTACAGGCTGACTCCAACTCTGATCAGCCACCGTGCTTTCGGCACGCAGCGGCGTGCCCCAGGGCACACGCAGCTTTGCGAGGTAGAGGTCTTGCGGTCCTTACGGGTTCTTCAGGGCCCGTACCCTTAGGTCGGGCATGTCCCCCTACAGGCGGATTCTGGAGGAACAGTGGACAATTGATAAACTGTCTTCGAAAATAATCCCAACAGATGCTAGAACGGTCGCCCCCAGACTGTTGTTTCGACTGTTTTCTGAATATCCCTCCTGTAGAGGAACAGGCCCGAACTTTCAGGGCAGATTTTCATACATAGGATTTTTTTAAATTGAACACATGATTATTTTTGGAATAAATTTATGCATGAACTCCTCGTTGTTTTCAATACTACATCCCTGCATCTTTAATACATGATCCGCACGCGGCGCATGTATTAAAAACGGCACTGTGCCCGCACCCCAGGCGGCCCTGGGCGGTCCCGGACGCCGCCGCACTGCGCCGCCCGAGACTCTGGGACGCCCGGCGAGCCGAGAGGACCCCGAGAAGCACCGGGAACGGTGGACGCGGGCCCCGGGCCGTCGAACGATCGGCCCACGACGCCCAACGCCGGCCGACGCTGCCCCCAAAAACGCCCCAAGAGGCGTCCAAGAGGCCCTTCACGCAGCAGATAGCACTGATCTGCCTCGGGATTTGGCAGATTGGGGCGTTCTCGCCGTTGCGGCTTCCGGACGCTCCAGGGCGGCCTTAGAGGCCCTAAAATCGCCCCAGCACGGCCCAGGAGGCCTCCAAAAAGGACCCCCTAAACTGCTCAAGAGAAACCCGAAACTGCCCAAGAGTCGCCCAACACGGACCCATGGACCCCGAGACGGCTCCGAGAGGGGGGCCCCGACGGGAAAACTCGAGTGGACATGTCGAGCTCTCAGCTCCAGGAGGCCCCCAGGAGGCCTCCAGAGGCCCCTCCGAGGCCGCCAAGGGCACCCAAAGAGGCCCCGAAGAGGCCCCCTCCTCCTCCTCCTCCTCCTCCTCCTCCTCCTCCTCCTCCCCCTCCTCCTCCTCCGCCTCCTCCTCCTCCTCCTCCTCCTCGGGAACCCCAAGAGTTCCCGAGAGGGGGCTCCCAAGAGAAACTCCCTTGAGGCCCCCAAGAAGCACCAAAACTGCCCTCGAGAGGCACCCAGAGAGACCTCAAGAAGCATCCGGGAGGACTCTGACACACAACCCAGGCACGATGGCGGGATGGGCCAAAAGCCATTGGACCTGTTTGGCATGGGGACGGAAGGAGCGGGTTCTTTCTGTGACAGCGTGAGGCCGCTCGTCGAGGACTCGATCGCCTTGGACACTTCGGAGGCCATCTTGACGCAATCCTGGGCCATCTTAGGGCCTTTTTGGGCCGCTTGTGGAGGCTTATGCAGGGCCGTCTTGAGTCGTCTTGAGGCCTCCCGGGGGCGACCACAAGACGATGTCGACCTGATCGCAATTGTTTGAGGATGTCCCTAGCGAAATCGTCATTTTGGGGCTCCAGATAGAGCCATTAGACTCTGGGCCCCCCCCTGCCTACCTCCCCACCCCCCTTGTTATTTCTCCCGACTAACGGATCGCGACGAAGCACGCTTTCCGTCATCCGCCGCCCCCTGTTGATTCATCACAGGGGTGCCTGGCGTGCTGAACCCTTTCGCTTTTGCTTTTTGTTGTCCAAAAAAAAACTCCCCCTGGGGCTTCGGCCCGTCCCGCCGGCCATCCGAAAGGGACCCCAACGACCGGAAAAATCCCCCAAGACGGCTCAAGATGGCCTCCAAGATGGCCACGTTGGCCTCCAAGATGGCCTCCAAGATGGCCTCCAAGTCCGCCCAAGATGGTCCGAGATGGACTCCAAGACGGCCCGAGAGAGCTCGCGATGCCTTCAAGCTCGTCCAGGAAACCTCCAAGAAGGCCCATGATGGCTTCAGGATGGCCTAAGCCTGGCCAAGAGGCCCCCAAGAGGCCTCCACGACGTCCTCCAGGAAGGTCCGAAAGGGCCAACATCAGTGATTGTCCTTGGGTTTTTGTCCAGGAGCTTGGCATTTTCTTCTCGTCGGCTCTCCGACGGCCCAAGACGGCCCAAGAGCCCCCCAACATCGCCCCAAGATGCCTCCAAAATTGGTCCCATGGCAGCCCAAGAGGCCCCCAAGCGGGCCCCAACAAGGCCCTATGATGGCCCTAAAGGCCCCCAAGACGCCCAAGATGGCCTCCAAGACGGCCAAGATGGCCTCCAAGATGCCTCCAAGACGGCCAAGATGGCCTCCAAGACTGCGAAGATGGCCCCAAAATGCACCCAAGAGGGCCTCAAGATGGCCTAAGACTGCCCAAAAGGCCCGCAAGAGGGCTCCAAGACTGCCCAGGAGTTCTCCTAGACGTCTTCCAGGAATGCCCGAAAAGGTCAAAATGGCCTCCAGACGGCCAAGATGACCTTCAAGATGCCTCCAACACGGCCAATATGGCCTCCAAGACGGCGAAGATGGCCCCAGGATGCACCCAAGACTGCCCGAGATGGCCTCAAGATGGCCTAGGACGGCCCAAACCGCCCGCAAGAGGCCTCCAAAACGGCCCAAAAGCCCTCTAATACGTCCTCCAGGAAACCCGAAAACTCGGAAACCACCTGGTCCGATAGCTCGCCCGACTCCGTGTTCCTCGAAAGCTATCGAAACCCACTCGGGGAACGCGTGGCCCGATGGCTTGGCCAAGCTCAAACCCAACTTTCGGCCACGCAGGCGCTGCCAAAAAGGCAGGGGGCGGCGGTGATTTGCCGTGGCGTCTTCGGTAACATCCAACCAGGGCTCGATCCAGGTTTAATAGAACCCTGGAATGAGGGAAACCAGCTCCAGGAACATCTCACTAGTTGTCGACCCAGCTCCACTAGAATCGCACAGGGGTCAGTCGGGGCCAGAAACTATTATCGTTCACTGGTCGGCCTGTAGATTTCGATTTACTGGCCCTCATGCCCACATGATCGCTGATCGCGATGAGGCCGACATCTTCGCAACGCGACGCCAACTGTGCGAATCGACCGAACTTGCGATTTGAAGGCGCGCCCAGCACTGGCGTCGCACGACAATTGGACACCATGCCCCGCCGCCTGCAGGAAACTCTTCAGGCGCCAATGGCGCTCTCTGGGCGGCCGGGGGTCGCGGGGGGGTCCACGTCGGCCTGAACGCGCCGAGAAACGACCCTGGGCGTCTGGTGAAACCCAGATCCCCAATCCGTCGCCGAGACGTCTCCACGAGCTTCCACATCGACGCAAGTGGGCCCAATGGCTCCACGGGGGCCACGGGAGAGCCAGTAGGAGAACCCGAGGAAGAGCGCGACAGGCCCCAAGAGAGACCCGATACGCCCTAGAGCGAGACCCCCGCAGAAGCACGGAAGGAACCACTCGCATCCGCCCCGGACAGGGACGCAACCCAGACCCGCGATCGGTGGGATGAAAGATTTCGCGGTTTTGGCCCGCCCAAAACAACAAAGTCTTTCATTTCACTGATCCCGCCTGGCGGGGGTTCCAGGGGCGGACGCCGCGCGCGCCCTGAGGCGGCGGGCCGATCGACGCAAGGCCGCGTCCTCGCTTGAGCGCGCGCACCGATCTGCGGCGCGGCGCGCGCACTCCCGCGCCTGAAGCCTGCGGGAATTAACAGTGCACATGTTCGTTTGGTCATGAAGATTCCCGTCGACAGGGCTGGGTCCAGCTGTAGCCAAATCCTACTATGGCTCGATCCAGCTCTAGCGGAATCGTGCTAGGGCCCCCATCAAGCTTTAATATCTCTCTCTCACTCTCTCTCTCTCTCTCTCTCACACACACACACTGTGAGGGGTCCATCGAACCTTGTCAAAATCCTACTAGGGCCCGGTCCAGCTCTGGTGGAATTCAACTAGGGCTCGATCCAGCTCTGCCAGAATCCCTTTAGGGTTGGATCCAACTTTTGTCGAATCCTGATACTCGGCCCAATTCTAACACAAACTGGCGGGTGGATCCAGCTCTTGCGAAATCATATCTGGATCCAGGTAGAATGGAAGTCCGAAAAAGCTCGACTCAGTACTAATGCAACATATTCCTAGCTTTTGATCCAGCTCTAATAGAATCTACGAGGGTTCAATCCATATTTGAAAGAATCCTACTCGGACGGAACCCAGCTCTAATGGAATCCTAATTGGGCTAGAACCAACTTTCACGGACTCCTACTAAGGTTCGATCCAGCTTTCAACGCATCCCACTAGGGCTCGATCGTCGTCGTCGTCGCAGTCGTCGGCGTCGTTTTCGTCGTCGTCGGCGTCGCAGTCGTCGTGGTCGTCGTGCGTCGTCCGTCCGTCGTCGTCGTCGTCGGCGGCGTCGGCGTCGTTGTCGGCGTCGTCGTTGTCGTTGTCGGCGTCGTCGTCGTCGGCATCGGCGTCGTCGCTGTCAGCGTCGTTTGCTGGCGGTGGCGTCGTCGTCGTCGTCGTCGTCGTCGGCGGGGGCGGCGGCACTGTCGTCGTCGTCGTTGCCAGTGCCGGGAGGGGGTCGAATCAATTTTCCCGGGGGGGGGGGTGAACCTCCCCCTGCCAGCCAGGGCAGTAAGCGCTCTTTCGGGGTTTTGGGGGGCTCTCTTTCAGGCCTTGCGGGGCTCTTCCTGTCGCCACAGCTGGTTCCCCCTCCTCAAGAGGGGTCTGTCGGAAAAGAGGCGATCCGCTAACCGATAGGGCCGCGGGCGTGAAGCCACCGATCTGCCACGACTCCACGAAGCCGCCAAGGGGCAACCAAGAGCCAGCTGGATCCTCCTGCTCCAAAGCCCTACGGGTTTCGGGGTCCAGAAGAGGAGGAGGAGTGCTCCAGGGGTGGAGCTGAGGCCATGGCATCTCTGCTCGCTGCTCCGCCTCCTCCTCTGCCTCCTCACCCTCCCCGCAGCTCCCGGGCCTCGACCTTACCCGCTCGCACTTGCGGACCGCACCCCGAGGCCGCCGGCTTTCAGAGCGCCCGGGGCGACCCCCACTCGCCCTGGACGAGGGTGGCGGGGGAGTCCACCAGGCGGTCGCCGATCTCGACCTTCTGCACGCGCTCGCCAAGCTGCTTCTTGAGCCACGCGGCCACCTCCTCGAGCGGGGTAAGATTGGGCATTGCTGGATCTTCGTGGGCTTCGTGGGGGGCCTTCGGAGACCGTCGGGGGCCCCCATGGATCTTCGGGGGCCTCTGGAGGATCTCGCGGGGGAGACGCGGGAGAGGAGAGGGAGAAAAGACTCGACTGCCGCCTGAAGTGCCGACGACTCCTGGGCTAGAGGCAAGGGAGGGGACGGGGCAATGAGGGAGAAGAAGGGCATAGTGAGGGACAACGGAGGGGGGAGGCAGCGCGAGCGAGAAAGAGAGATGAGTAGATCAGAGCGGGGGAAACACTCCTCCTCCTACTTCTCCCAAGATGCATTGATACACTTTCCTTATGTATATCTCTCTCTCTCTCCCACTCTCACTCACTCTCTCTGTAGTGGGTCCTGTGGCAAACAGGTCTTGGACCCAGGATTTCCCCCAGGATCAGCTTTTTCACCCCCGAGCAGTTGTTTGAAAGTCCTGGGGCCCGTCGAGGGCCCCGAGAGCCTGAGCATGGTGAAACACCTCGGGGCCCCGCTTCCCTCAGGACCGGCGTCCTTCACTAGAACAAGAAAAAAAACGGCACAAACATGAACTGTTGGCGCTCCGCGCAGATTTCTTGGATCTGCGCTGGACTCCCCCCTCCCTGGCGCGTGGAGCGTGCCGGGGGCGGCGCCGGAGGCACCGCCAGGTGGGGCCCAGCGCGGATCCAAAAATCCGCGCGGAGCGCCAACAGTTTACGTTTATAGCGTTTTTCCTCCTTCGATTCATGGCGGAACAAAAGTGACCCCACGAGCGGCGCACTCGTACGCAACCTCCGGAGAATCCAGCGGGCAAGAGCAACCGATGGTGCCCTGCGCGGCGGGCCCGTGTGGCCAGCAGTCAGAGCGTGGCCACTAGAGCGTGGATCAAGAACGCGAGACCCTTTGCCGAAAGACATGGGCCGAGATGCAGATACCCAAACCGACGAACATCCAAAGGCGGGGGGGTTGTTGGAGACGGCAGGGTCGTCTATCGACCGTTTCCAAAAATCTTGACCCTGGGAACAGAAGAAATAAGCACAACAACAACAACAACAACAATTACTAGCACGTGGGGACACTCCGTTCTCACCAGTGCCAGGGTTTTCATAGGAGGCGGGCAATACCCCCACTTTGTGGGGGGGCCGGTTCAAGCTCTACCAAATTTCCAAACGACTCTTCGCCACCACCCACACCCAGCTTCCCGCCCTATGACGTTCGGACACTTCACTTCGTGGCATGCGGACGACCGTGGCTACTATTCAGGGCCCCGCGGCCGACGACGACGGCGTGCGCGCGCGAAGAAAAAACGAATGTGTCCCGCATGGTATTATTTGACAGGGATGATGGCCCTGGCAGGTGCGCAACCGTTGTCGCAGAAGTTCGAAAAAGTTGCTCGCAAAAGCCCGTTTGACAGAAATGTTTAAAAAGTGTTGGGTTTCCTACGAATCCGCAAGAGCGCGCGGGATGAGATTTTGACAATTTTTTGTTGAAAAACCATTGGTTTTTTGATGTTTTTATGTTAAAATCGCTGCGAACACTAAGGTTTTGGAAGGATTTCGTCTTGCGCGCGCGAATGTCCACTTTACCTTATTTTTTGCAAGGGATTCTTGAAATTTGATTATATTAGAACAAGAAATGTCATTTTCTATTGTTTTTTGCAAGGGAAAGCGGATTACAACAAAACAACCGGATCCTGTACACACCCTCTTTTCTGAGGCTTCCTCACGAAAATGATGAAAATGTAGCTGCGGCCTAGGCGGCGCAGGGGGGGCGCGCACCAGGGGGCCCAACAATAATTATTCTTTAGAATAAATAATGTTCAACAACAACAACAACAACAATTACTAGCACGTGGGGACACACCGTTCTCACCAGTGCCAGGGTTTTCATAGGAGGCGGGCAATACCCCCACTTTGTGGGGGGGCCGGTTCAAGCTCTACCAAATTTCCAAACGACTCTTCGCCACCACCCACACCCAGCTTCCCGCCCTATGACGTTCGGACACTTCACTTCGTGGCATGCGGACGACCGTGGCTACTATTCAGGGCCCCGCGGCCGACGACGACGGCGTGCGCGCGCGAAGAAAAAACGAATGTGTCCCGCATGGTATTATTTGACAGGGATGATGGCCCTGGCAGGTGCGCAACCGTTGTCGCAGAAGTTCGAAAAAGTTGCTCGCAAAAGCCCGTTTGACAGAAATGTTTAAAAAGTGTTGGGTTTCCTACGAATCCGCAAGAGCGCGCGGGATGAGATTTTGACATTTTTTTGTTGAAAAACCATTAGTTTTTTGATGTTTTTATGTTGAAATCGCTCCGAACACTAAGCTTTTGGAAGGATTTCGTCTTGCGCGCGCGAATGTCCACTTTACCTTATTTTTTGCAAGGGATTCTTGAAATTTGATTATATTAGAACAAGAAATGTCATTTTATAGTGTTTTTTGCAAGGGAAAGCGGGGGGGAACAAAACAACCGGATCTTGATCACATCGAATTACCTGAGGCTTCCTCACGAAAATGATGAAAATGTAGCTGCGGCCTAGGCGGCGCAGGGGGGCCGTGCACCAGGGGTCCCAACAATAATTATTCTTTAGAATTAATAATGTTCAACAACAACAACAACAACCAACTGTTCGCCGAAACAAAGTAACTGCTCAGGGATTGAAGCCAGGTCCGAAACGGGGGAAAAGACGGCGACGGAACCAGACAACAAAAAAGGGCGCCGGGACTGGGTCAGATAACGGCAAGCTTCCAAGAGAACCACTGGGGAAGCAGAAAAGCCGAAGCACTCGGGCACACCTCCGAAGCCGAGGCTGTTCTTGACCCTCTTGCCAGCTGTATATGGACCTACCAGGGCATATCAAACATGCACGGGCAGATGCGCGCAGGCTCAATTGGACGAGCACCCACGCGAATCCTCCTCCTCCTCCTCCTCCTCCTCCTCTGCCTCCTCCTCCTCCTCCTCCTCCTCATCCTCCTCCTCCTCCTCCTGCTCCTCCTCCTCATCCTCCTCCAGGGGCAGCTGGGGGGGCAAACTCGTGGGCAGGATCCTACGCATCCTCCAGACAACCCGTCGGGGGAGGGCAACTAACAGTGGAAGTGGTGGAAAGAGGAAGGGAGATGAACGGCCACGCAGGGATCACGAAGCAATCGCGCCAACTTGCTTCCGGACCCCCGTCCTCGTAGTCCTTCGTAAGCTTCTCGAACTTGGACTTCTCGTCCTCCGTCTTGTCCAGGTCCAGCCCCGCCTTGTTGATGTCCACGAGCTTGCGGCCGTCGAAGTCGACAATGCTCTGGCTGCAGATCTCGTCAAGGGGGTCGACCATGTAGAGAACCTCTCGGCCCACTCTGCTATGACGAAGCCAAGACGAGGATAAACTCGGGTGAGGATAAATTGTGAATCTCTGAGATCCAGCGGTTGTGGAGAACGTATCGGGCGCCACGGCCTTCTCAGAGCGTTTGGGGGTCGACCATGTAGAGAACGTCTTCAAAACATTCTGGAAAAGAGTCACAACTATTCAGAAAATCGTCCCCAGACTTTTTTGACAATTTTTTGACCATTCCTCCTGTAGAGGGACATGCCCGACTTCAACACATCCTCGTCCTGGCCCCGCCCGGTCTACCCCCCCTCTGGTCCCCCTCCAACCCCCCCTCACCTCCCCAAGACCCGCGACGACTCGAGCCGCTCCAGTCCCCGGCCACAGGTGCTCGCGAACGCTTTGCCCCTGAGGCCGGCATCGAGGGAGGAAAAAACACCCAGACAACAGACAATTGGCGCTTACTGAACGGCCCTGGGCGTCTACAGTTGGGGCGTTGACCTAAGGAACCCCAAATAAGGAACGGGGCCGCTTTCTCCCATAAGTTGAACTTCGATGTCCCATAGGAAACCTCAGGACAACCGAAGGTACACTGCAGAACAAGCAAGGAACACCGAGCCCCTCCCCAACGAAAAGGGTTCCTTCTTCAGGGCCCCGACTGTACTAAACAGCCCTGCCCTGTTTGATTCCTCCTTTGGGTGCGGTTCCTGAACGGCCTCGCGCGTCGGGGTGGTTTCTTTTCGGGGTGGGTCTCCTGCCCTCGACAGCAGCTCCTCCTCCCGGGTGGCGTGGCCGCCTCCTGCGCGAGCAGGACGCGGGAGGCATAGCTCCGCCTCCTTCGCACAGCACCTTTCCGCCGGACCTGCCTGGGGTGTGCGCTCGCGCCAGAACTGGGGGGGGCTCACCTGTGGCGGTGGCAACAGTGAAGGGGCCCTGGGACACACAAATAAATACACACACATCAAAGGATTCCCCACATCTTCCTACATGTTCTGGGTTTTTGTCTCCCCCCCCACTTCCCATATTTTCCCATATTTTCCTGGGAGTGGGCGATTAATTGTGTCTGTGTCTGGGAGGCCCCCCAAAAAGATGCCAAGAGAGAGCTCGACAACGTCGTTCCTCGAGGGAGGGGGAACGACCGGCGGGAGCTGGCTCATAGGGAGGGTGGCAGTGCTCTGGAGTCCACGATACATCGCCGATACGTCGGCGATAGGCAGGCAGGCGCGCCCTGGAGTCGAATCGACGAGTCGGATCGGCGATCGAAGTGAATCGGATCGGCGGAAACCGGCAGCCGAGCCGGGCAGAGTCGAATCGGCGGGCATCGGCAGCCCCGTGGGCCTCCCCTGAAACATCGGAGCCCAGATCGGAATCCGAAGTCGAATCCCATCGGAATCGAAGCGAATCGGAGGGATCGAAGCGAGCCCAGCGATGGGCCCCAGGTGCAGCGAGCCTGGGCCGTCCTGCGCAGCGCGGGCCGTCGGGCCCTTTTATCGCCGAGGCGAGGCGCGACGGCGCGGGTTCTCCTCGCGCCCTCGCACGGGGGGGCGCTGCTGCGCCACGGGAACTCGACGCGCGGAGCCGCGACCACCTCCGCGCCCACCCCCCCCAGGGGTGACCTGGGCCGTCCTTCGCGAGACGATGCCCGCAAGTAGGAGGCAACCACTGGGAGGTCCTCGTCGGAAGGATTAAGGAGGATTAAGCCCCACTGGGGCGGCTGTCACGCTGGAGGGGGCCTCGGATTAAGCGGGGCTAAGCCGGATGAAGCGGGATGAAGGGGGATTGAGTCGGATTTCGGACCAGGGCAACATCAGAATTTGACTTCCCAAGAGTTTCATCCGAAGCTTTGGTATCGTTGTCCCCCGTTCTGTCTTCGTTCCGCCTCTGCCGCAAAGCGAGATCAAAGCGAAACAAGTCCTCGAGATCGTCATGCTTTCCTTCGCAAGCAGGACTCGAGCTAATCAATACTTGCCGTCTTCGCTCTGTTTTCGTTTTCCCCCGCTCTGTCTGCGTTCCACCCCTGCCGCAACGCGAGGTCCGTGGGAAGCCAATCCTCGAGATCGTCAGAGCACGGTGTAGGCCGAGCCCTGGATGCGAGCACGCAGGGAAGCCATGCGTCCTGAGGGACACGTGGGCTGGACGGCGAAGCACGCGTGGATCCTGCCGTGGGCTGGCTGAGCTCGGGCAACCGCATGGAGCCTGCCGAGGAAGCCATGCCCTGCTGTGCACTTCGGTGGCCCATCGCTGCCGCGGGCGACCTCGCCGTCCGCGCGGCATAAAGCATAGGCGTAGCCTCTCGAGAGTCCGCGCGGAGGACACCCCCTCCTGGGCGCGCGGAGCGCGCCAGTGGAGTCGCCAGAAGCCGCCGCCAGGCGGGGTCCAGCGATATGGGGGACCGGCACAGGTTGGGGGGGCATTGAGCTGGGATCGCCGATACATCTTGGCGGCGCGCGAAAGGGGGTAGTGGGAGGGGGGAAGGCTTCTTAGCACACTGAATCTTAGAAGGCCTCGGCCTTACGTCTATAGAGAAGGCCCGCGCCTTCTAAGAAGCAGGGGTGCTTCTAAGAAGCCTTCCCCCCCGCCCCTACCCCCCTCTGCCCATTGCCGAACATCGCCGATAGACCGGCGAGAGGCCCCCGACAGCAAATCCGCACCATTCTGGGCGGGGTGGGCTGTCGATGCGCTCCCCCTGAGCCTACACCCTCCCTGCATTCAAGAGAGGAAAACCAGCATAGACACCCTTTCTCGAAGGTCATCGTGGATTTCTTAGATCGGCGCTGGACCCCCTCCATAACGCGCGGAGCGCGCCAGCTGCGCCGCCGAAGGGGCCCAGCGCAGATCCAAGAAATCCACGCGGACCTCCGAAAGTGTATGTTTATGCCTTTGTGACTATTCGATATATCCTCACCTAAGGGTGACCCTGATCCGGGACGCATGAGGAAGTACGAATATTTTGTGCCTCCGTTGGAAACGCACGTCTGACCCGAGCATGTAGTACACAATATTGTAGCAGACAGTTTCCCAAGCGGCATGGCCAGAAAGCGCCCGCCTCTACACTACTAGGTTTGCGAGCGTGCGCTGCTCCCTTGCGAGGCCGACGCACATGTAGCAGAAGTATGATTCGATGGCGACGACTCTCTTGCCCTTGGAACCTCGTAGCCCTTCGCCTTCATCTTCTCCATGGCTGGCGCGATCTCCGCCGCCTTCTTGCCCTCGCCGGTCACGAAATAGATCTTGTCCTGGCCCTCCTGCGGGCGCCGCCCGGCGCCGCCCAGGCCCGGCTTTCGGTAGGGGGCCAACTGCGAACCCTACCCCTACCCCCCACGACTTCTGAGGGGAGGGTGGGGTACGGTTCGCAGTTGGCCCCCTATTCGGCGCAGACCCTGTGCCCGAGGATCCAGGAGAGGGGGAGGAGGGTCGAGGGTCGGGGAGGGAGGAGGACGGACGCACGGGCGCCACTCCGACGACGCTGCACCGGCCGAAAGGGGCCGGGCGCGCAACGCGCACAAAAAACGCGCAGCACGGCACCCGCAAAACATCCGCCCGCGAGACCCTGCCACGCCTGCGCTGGAATTCGGAGGAGGAGGAGGAGGAGAAGGAGGAGGAGGAGGAGAAGGAAGAGGACGAGCAGGAGAGGAGGAGGAAGAGGAGGAGGAGGAGGAGGAGGAGGAGGAGGAGGAGGAGGAGAAGGACCATCATCTCTGGCTCCGCATGCCGACCTGGACTCTGCAGGTGCCAGCGGGTGTCGTCAGGCCACCGCTCGCGCGGCTGGTGGCGCGGCCTGCCCTCCGCTCGCGTGGTTCGGCTGGCGCTCCACACCCCGTCGCGGAGGAGGGGGGGATAGAGGGTCGGGGAGGGAGGAGGGTCGAGGACTGGAGGGCTCGAGGAGGGGGTCGAGGATCGAGGAGGGATGAGGGAGGAGGATCGAGGATCGAGGAGGGAGGAGGGAGGAGGATCGAGGAGGGAGGGGGGAGGAGGAGGGAAAAGGACCGAGGAGGGGAGGAGGGGGATCGAGGAGGGAGGGGGGGAGGGAAGATGGCAAATCGACCCTGAGCTCCCGTCCTTCGCTTTCCCGCGGCCAGGCCCCTCTGCCCCGGTGCCCCCCTCCTCCCCGATGCGACGCCGAGGTGCTCCCCGGGCCAGTGCCGCTTCGCGGGCCCCCTCGACAGCGACTTCCACGAAATCCGCTCGGGTCAAGCACGCTTTGCTCTGACGCTCGCTCGGCAATTGCCTGGCCATCGCCCTCTGCGTGGGCCGGCTCCTGCCTCGGGCGCGGGGTGGGCAGGATGTCGTCGGAGACATCTGCGATTCCCGAAGGCTGTCGCTGAAGTTTCTTTCTGGCGCCTCCTGGGCCATGCCCCTTCCTAGAGGCCTCCCAGATAGGGCCCGAATAGATGGGGTCGAGGGACCGCGCCGCATCGCCATTGCATCGCCGATGTATCGGCGATGCGTCGGCGATGCATCGGCGATGCATCCGCGACGTCGGCGATGCACCAAAGCGACGTCGGCGTGGGGAAGCGCGGTCTCCACAGTGAGCCGCATCGTCGATGCATCGGCGATGCGGCGCGATCCTCCGACCCCGTCTGCTCGGACCCCGTCTGGGAGGCGTGGACTTCCTGTGGGCCGGAGCTCGCACTATGCTTCTCCTCCAGCCAGGCTGCAATTAAGTCGGGCATGTCCTCCTACAGGTGGTTTTTAAGTGAAAAATAGAAAGCCCTTGTTCAAAGTTCAGATATTCCATGGCACAAGTTGCACTTCGGCGCAGCGATGCTCTCCTCCCTGGTCGACGCCGCTTGGGTACAAACGCGTCTGCTCTCGCCGCCAACTCGAGGCTGGTGTGCATGACAAGCCGTGGACAGCAACACCAACCGCAGCATTTTGCTTCTGCCGGTACTTCGCCACCGGGTTCCTGTACAAGGCGTTCCTTTGCAAGCACATCGTTTTCGGCACCGCCTGTTCCCAAGGTTTTGCCTCCTCCTGGCCTCGCCGTGAGGCCGCGCTCCTTCTGTCCCCCCTTCTTTGTCAATTCGAACTTCGCGCGGCCCGCTCAGCTTCGACCGGAAGAGGTGCGCTCTCGATCCGCGAATCAAAACATTGTTTAAAGTTGAGAAGTAAGTTACAATGATCAATACATCGTCCCCAGACTATGTTCTACTTCGTTTGAACATTCCTCGTGTAGAGGGACAGGCCCGGCTTAATGTTGCAATCGCCAGCCCTGCATGCGCCGCCGATCCGAGTCCCCCCCGGGGGCCCCCCTCGCCCTTGACCTTCGCGGGCGCGGAAGAAAAAATAGCCTCAAATCGGGCGTGTCCCCCTACAGGCGGATTTGTGATTGCATATCAAAAACTCCAAGACATTCAACCATAGTCAAGAAATATGAAAAGATTCGCCCCCTACTCTTCCTTGGCTATGTTTGAAGACTCCTCCTGTGAAGGGACAGGCCCGACTTGAAGATAGCCCACTGCCAGGCCTGCCTCAGCCCTCTGCAGCTCGGGCTCGAACGTGCCGGCGCTCTTCATGCAGGCAGGCGCTCCCAAAAGAAGATGGGCTCCCCCGTTTTCCTTAGGAGGCAACTACTGGGATTGAACCCCATTGGGGGATTAAGAAAAAGCTTAACAACGAGTAAAAAAGATTGAGAATCCCCGCAGGAAATATTCAGAAGGATTGAGCCCCCTTGGGGGCCTGTTGCGCGGGATTGGGCCTCGGCTCGCGCGGGGCTAAGCCGGGTGAAACAGGATTGAGCAGGATTGAAGTGGATTGAGCGGGATGAAAACAGATTTCGGACCAGGGTAAAGTCAGAGTTTGACATCCCAGGAGTTGCGCGTGGATCCCCCCCCCCGCCCTCGGGGGAGCCCGAGAGGGGCGCGTCCAAAAGGGGGTCTCGCAGAGCATGGCCGGAGACGCGCGCGCGCGGCCCAGGGAAGGGGGGGGGGGGGCGGCCGAGGGCCGTCGCGTCGACGCAGGCAGAGCGGGTGCGTGAGATCTGAGAAGATCGCATTGACTCGGACATGCGACCCCCCCCCCAAGTCACCACATTCGGAGGCCACTACTGGGAGGTCTTCGTCGGAAGAACGAAGGGCGATTTAGTCTCCGCGGGGGGCTGCCCCGCCAGATCGGGCCTCGGATTAAGTCTCAGCGGGGCAAAGCTGGATGAAACGCAGGCTTGAGCCGGATCGGGGCGGGGCGGAACCGGATTTGGGGACCAGGGCAAAGTCAGAACTGTGTGCTTTTGTGCGTGTGTGCGTGTGTGTGTGTGTGTGCGTGTGCGTGTGCGTGTGCGTGTGCGTGTGTGTGTGTGTGTGCGTGCGTGCGTGTGTGTGTGTGTGTTAGTGTGTAGGTGTGTGTGTGTGTGCGTGTGTGTGCGCGCGCGCGTCCTGCCCTCGAGCAAGGGTCGAGACGCGACGACCGCGAGCGCTTCAAGGCGCACTGCCAACGCTTGACGCGGCCGCCAAGCTCGCGCGTGCAATTGCACGTCTCGTCCACAAACCAGTCGGCCATCTTGTCGATGTTCCCCGTCGCCTCCTCGGGGGAGATCAGCCACGGGGCAGCCTCGACGTCTTTGTCTAAATCTGGCATTCGAGACTTGAGGACGCAAAGAACGACCTCCTCCAGCGCCTCCTCCTGGGAGATCGTCGTCTTCCATTCTTTGAAGCCTGCCAGCTTCGCGTACTTCATCCCTGCTTGCTTCGGCGCAGCCGCCAACTTGATGTTACCCATGTCATCTGGGCCAATGGTCGGGACACCCCCCTGCATTGCCTCACGGGTGCGCTTGCTCGCCTTGTTCACGGCTGGCGTGATCTGCACCTGGTCCATGGCCGTTGCCACAGCGGCCTCACTGATCGGCGTCGCCATGACGACGACTGTCGGCGACATGCTCGCCACGCGTAGCACCGCCGCGCTGCCTGGGCCACGCTGGCGAGAGGGAGGGCAAAAAGCGGGATGGAGCACTGGGAGGAGTTCCATTGCAATTGCATTGTTTGTCGGCGCGAGGCCGCCAAGGCGGCCCCCCCTTTCAAACTGAGGCTCTCGCTCGAGCTCCAATTGAGGCCCTCTCGAGGTATCCTAGGAGGGAGGCACCGTGCGAGACGGTGCCCAGAGGACGGGGCCTCTCGGGGCGAGCGGGGAAGGCCCAAAGGGAGGTGCTGGAGGTAGAGGGCGGCCCCCCCTTCAAACTGAAGCTCTCGCTCGAGCTCTAGCCCGGAGAAGCAATTGGGACCCCCCCCCCCCGGCGTTATCATTAGCACCGCACCGTGCTTAAATATTTTTGTTTGGGGGCGTCGCCGAACGATATAATTAGCACCGCGCAAATGAAAGGAAAGTAAATCCGCCGACCCTGTCGGCGTGTGTGGGGGGCTTCTCCGTTCGACTCGTCGTCTCCGTCGTCTCCGTCGTCTCCGTTCCCCCCCGCCCCAGGGCTCTCCTCCTCAAGCTCGCTGCCCTAAGCGAAATTCAACGACGTCCTAATGGGGTCGAAGGGAAGCCCCTTCCCTTTGATCCCTACCCCGCAAGGGGGGGGGGGTCCCGGGGCAGATGCGACGCCCGCCGGGGCGCGCTTTCCTCGAGCGGGCAAGCGCGGGATGCACTTCCTCCTCCTCGTGGTCGTCCTCCTCCTCCTTTTCCTCCTCCTCCCCCTCCTGCTCTTCTCCTCATTCTCCTCCTCCCCCCCCTCCTCGCCCTCCCTCCTCCTCCTCCCCCTCCTCCCGCAGAGGCGTCCCGGGAGCGGGCCCCGAGTCAAAATACCCCCCCCCTAGGCGCATTTTCCTCGAGCGGGCACGCCCGAGATGCACTTCTTCCTCTTCCGGGAGCAACGCCCCAAGTCAGCATATCGCACTCCCGGGCCGTACTTTCTTCGAGCGGGCACACAAAGGATGCACTTCCTCCTCCTCCTCCTCCTCCTCCTCCTCCTCCTCCTCCTCCTCCTCTTCCCCCTCCTCCTCCGCCTCCTCTCCTCCTCCTCCTCCTCCTCCTGCTCCTCCTGCTCCTCCTCCTGCTCCTCCTCCTGCTCCTCCTCCTCCTCTTCCTCCCCCTTCCTCCTCCTCCTCCTCCTCCCCTCCTCCTCCCCCTCCTCCTCCCTCTCCTCCTCCTCCCCTCCTCCTCCCCCTCCTCCACCTCCCCCCGCCCCCTCCTCCTCCTCCTACCCCCCCCTCCTCCTCCTCCTGCTCCTCCTCCTCCTCCTCCTCCTCCTCCTCCTCGTCCTCCCCCTCCTCCTTTTCCTCCTCCTCCTCCTCCTCCCACTCCTAGCCCTTTC